CAAAATTTGCACCATTATGCATAAAGGGTTACACACTTACACATTTATCAACTAAATGTTCAATATATTTCTGAATTAGGTATTAATCCAAGAATACTCGAGATAAATCACGTTTTTATATATAAAGGGCTATACACTTAGGCCCTATTTGATTCACCTTAATTTTGCTGAACTGAAATTATTTATACTGATTTGAACTTATTTTTACTGAACTGAACTTAATTTTACTGAACTGAAATTATTTTTTACTGAACTTAAATTATTTTTACTGAACTGAAATTATTTTTACTGATTTTCTATTATAATTCTTCTTTAAGAAAACTGAATTTTACTGAACTGAACTTATTTTTACTGAACTGAAATTATTTTTACTGAATTGAAATTAATTTTACTGAACTGAACTTATTTTTACTGAACTGAAATTATTTTTGCCTTAATATTATTTTTTTAAGGTGAAGAGAACAGGGTCTTACACATAAACGTTCAATATATTTCTTAATTATTGGTATTAATCTAAGAATACTCGAAATAAATCACAATTCGATCATTATGCTTAATGATGAGGAAAAATACACTTTAATAATCCGACGATTTATTATCGAATAATCGGTATAATCCTAACGATGAGAACAAAGTAGTCAACAACTCAACAACCTTTTTATTACAGGTTATCAAGCCAAGTGTTAACCCATGATTGGTCAAAAAATAATAAAAAAAAATTAAAAAAAAACTGATAAAAACTTTGAAAAAATCTTTAAAAAAAGAAAAAAAAAAAAAAAAAAAGAAAAACGAAAATCCGCTGCCACCACTACCAGCAGCCTTACCCCCCTGCCTCCGGCACCGGCTGATGCCCAGAACCCCTCTCCCCCGGTCGCTGGCGCAGGCTTTACCCCCAGCATGACCACCGTAATCCCACTGCACGTAATCCCTCTTCCCAACCCCGAACATCGTCGGAACCTTAACCCACCCTCTAAGGCCCTAACCATGCCAGAAATCGACCGGCCAACCCCCTTAACCATCGAAAACGGCTGATCGGCCCTCTATCACCCATCCCCGACCCCCGAAATCACCCACCCACTGCCGAATCGCTCATTCCAGAAGTTGTTGCGTCCATTTGTGCAATTGTGGCGGTTGACGGACTGAACTATTGTTGCGGTTTAGTAGGCGTTTGGACTGGTAGCTGTGGCTGTTGGTTTTAGGGGCTGTGATTGATTGTGTGTGACGAGCAGGTGAATTGGAGATGGCTAGTGGTGGGTGGACGTTTGTGTAGAGAAGATGCGAGGTTGGTGATTGTTGCGGTGGTGGGTGTGGAAAACGGGGGTTGCGGTGGGTGGCGTGGCTTCTGTTGGAGGGCTGCGGTGTTATTGGTGGGCTTATGTTTTTGTGTTGTGGTGGCGAGTGGTAGCAGTGGTGGTGTTGGTGGGTAGAATGGGTGGCTAGGTTTTGGGATTTTTTTTTTAATTTTTTGTTATATGTTTTATTGGAAAAATTTTATTTTGACCACTCACGTATTGACACGTGGCTATTAAAAAAAACTCGTTCAACAGGTCACCGGTCATTGGAACAATTGGAGACAAACTGACCCCATAGTTAGGCCTTGTTCTTTTGAGCTATTGGCAGATCAGAGCAGAGCATAACAAATTTCAGGATAGCAGAGACGAGCCCAGCAAAGCAAATTTTAACATTATTATTATTATTATTATTATTATTATTATTATTATTATTATTACTACTACTACTGTTATTATTATTATTATTATTATTATTATTATTATTATCGTTACTATTTACTACTACTACTATTACTATTATTAATTTATTACTACTACTATTACTATTATTATTGTTGATATTATTATTACTATTACTATTATTATTAAGTGAGTATACCATTGATTTAGGTGAGTGAAAATATAAATAAATGTGTACCATATTTAACAAATATTAATAGTAGAAAAATAAAAGACAACGATTTACTTATATTTATTTCACAAAAATTTTAAAATAAAATGATTTAATGAGTAATAATAATTTTACTTATAAAAATGGCTTAATTATATATTTTTAACCCTCAAAATAATAATGATATACAAAGTACTACTTGAAAACAACCTCTTTTTTTTTTTTTTTTTTTTTTTTTAATTCTTAAATTGTATGGAAAGATTTGAAAAATAATTCAACTCAATGAACTAACAATCAATACCCACATAAAATGATTCTACACATTATGATTCTAATATCAAATGTTTATTAAAAGAAATCGTTATTATTATTATTTATTTATTTTTTTGAAAGAATTGTTTTAATTATTAGAAATTATTAATATTATTAATTCTTAATAGTTTGAATTATTAAATATTATTATTGATAATTATTATTATTATTAATATTATTAATTATTAAAATTATTTTTAATATTAATAATTATTATAATTATTCAAAATAATAAATTATTATCATCAACACAAATTATTATTATTATTGAATATTAATTATTATTTAAAAATAGAGCAAAGCAGATTTGATTTGAGCGGAGCAGGGTTCAGCAGAGCAGAGCAGCTCTAAAGAACGAGGCCTTAGGATCATTAGATTATAAACTTTAGCTGAGATTATTAAAAGTACTTCCCCATATTTGGAATTATTAAAGTGTATTTTTCCTAATGATAATTTCATTTTACAATCTATAGCTTTTATTTTAATTTATTATTGCTAGATAGCCTAGATTCCCTTCAAAGGTAAATGACAATCGATCCCTGGATCACCTGGAATCGGGAGGGGAGTTCTAACCACTTGAGTTATCCCTCACTCTCTTATTAGAAGGTATTTAAATATCTAATACTTTTTTTTTTATTTTCCAATTGGCCTACAAAAAAATTATCTATTATTTTTTCCGTTTTTAAATACTTGCTCCACTTTCTTTTTTCGGTCGTTTTTAAATACTTACGCCATTTCCTTATTTGGAAAGCTTTTACAATATTTAATTCATTTTTTTGACAAAGTTTAATTTATTTCTCTCACCTAATGGACTCAACATAAATCTTATTTTATTAATTTCATATTTTTTCTACTTCAATTCTCTCCACTACTTTTGCTTTTTACAATTTTTTATTTTTCCACCTACCCTACTACCTTCATATTTTATTACTTCTCTAATTTCTCCTAAAACTTCGCGTATTAAGAAATGGAACAAGTAATTTAAAAACGAATGGAGTATTTTACAATTTTCACCTTTGCTTGTGTTGCTACTTGCTTCTTATCAAATGAAATTCTTCAAATCTTAACATTGGTTTAATATACTACGTATTATCCATCTTATTTAATTAGGATTATGCAGGAAAACTTGTAGAGAAAACCACATTTTATAGCACACATTTTATTATATTATTATTACTCTATTTTTTTATTACTGCCTTATATGAACAATTTGAGTTCAATACTTCAATTTGAGTTGTTAGCACTACCCTGATACAGAAATTATTTACTTTTTCAACACGAGGCCCTCCACTGACGACATTAATTTGATTAAAATTACTGTAATGACTAATTCTTTCGATCCTTAACCATTTTTTATGACATTTTCAAAATATATTTTTTTAGCGATAGTATCATTAATTATGTGTAACTATATTTACAAAATATTTATATTTACATCAGCACACGACACATGGGATATTTCAAATGGAGCAAACGTAAAATAAGGGGTTTGAAAATTTGCATTGACTTAAATTAAGAGCTAAGGAGTACTAGTAAAAGTCAATAATCAACTTAAAAGCAAACGATCAAAGGAAAATGGTACAAGGAAAACAAACCTCCACGATCAACAAGGAGAAAACTAGGTCTTGAGGTATGAGATTTAAAAGGCTTAACACCATCAAAACTCTTACAAGCATTAATATTATGATCAGGATAAACCACTGAACCCACCATTGATCCTCCATACTCTGATACTCCGAAATTTGCTATTGAACCATCATGCTTTGCCTTTAAACTATACGGTTGCAACACCGTTACGCTGTTCTTCTCCACCACAAACCTCCCACTAGTACATCGCGTTGCAACGGCTATCACCACCAACACAACCACCATCAACCTGCCTTCCTTATTCATACTTAACTTCTTTATATTTTTTTTTATTGTTGTTTATATGGCAAGGTGGATTAGTTGGGGTATATATGATTGGAAGTTGGGTTGACGAAATAAACAAGACTTGATCATGTAAGGTGGAAGAGTATATAACAAAGACAAAGTTGAAGCTAAATAGACTCGAAAGCGAGGGAAGAAAGGCCAAGAGAAGGACGTACAAACTAGAGACTTTTTCTATTTGGTTTTATTCACAAGACTTGTGTTGTGCGTTTACTTCAAGTTTCTTACTATGTCCATTTCTATATTTAACTTTGTTTTCTACTATTTCATTTCCGAAATATTTAACTATTTAGGCCCCTTTATTTCACCTTATTTTTGCTGAACTGAAATTATTTTTACTAAATACAAATTGTTATTTTTGCTGAACTTAAATTATTTTTGCTGAATTGAAATTATTTTTGTTGAACTGAAATTATTATTATTATTTTTTTTTTACTGATTTTCTATTATATTTATTCTTTAAAGATACTGAATTTTACTAAATTGAACTTATTTTTGCTGAATTGAAATGAAAATATTTTTATTAAACTGAATTTATTTTTACTGAACTAACTTATTTTTATTGAACTGAAATTATATTAACTGAACTAAAATGAACATAATATTATTTATTTTAAGGTGAAGTGAACATGGCCTTATAATTAAGACATACTTGCTAATTTTATTATAAGTTGATCAATTTAATGATATCTTTATCAACTTTTATGATAACTTTTATTTCTTAAGTGTAACTATTAATTTGTAATAGGTTTGATTGTATTACAATGTGCAATTTCTAATGCATATATGCTATGAAGGGATTAATCTAATATTTTATAATTCCTCCGTTCTTTATTACTTGACCTGTATTCCTTTTTAAAAAGCTTCTTTTTACTTGACCAGTTGACCTGTTTCCCTATTTGGCAACTTTAACACTATACTTTTGACTTATTATTTACCCTCATCTTTTCAACATCATTTACCCACCATATTCTTATCATCTTCTCTCACCTCAATCACTTGCCAAAACCCATAGATTTTGAAACCACCTTTCCTCCTCCAAGTTGTCCATGGAAACCACCGTCATTGCCACCCTTATTTTTGAAGCACTGCCAAACATCAATCAATAGTTCACCACCAGTATCTCTCATCTTCACTGGAAAAACCCTCGACCTTCCTCCCCGCATTAATCACCCTATCTCGGTCACCTCTACCTTTGCTGCGTCATTGACGACTCTCCTCCCTGAACAAGTCACCCACTCTCATCTTCACCGCACAAGCCTCGACTCTTTATTAAGTTTATCAAAATCAAAGCCATGGAGGTCGAATTTGGATGGTTATTTCAGATCTGAAACTACGCACCATAGTCAAATTCAACCTACAAGCTCTCAACTCTTAAACTTTTGCTCAAGTATGTGCTGTTGTTGGTGGTGTGGGTATTTTAACTTTGGTAAATTTGCTCAAGTATGCAAATCTGGTGGTATGTACAATGGTGGTTGTTGATTTGTTGAAGTGTGGGTCTTGTCACTTTAATCTGGCACTTGGAAGCAAATCAAATATAGATATTGACGCCGCACGTGGATGGCTATCTTTTGGAGGTGGTTGTGGTACTAAATCCGGCAACGTAGGTTGTTGTGGTGGTGATTTCAATAATGGAAACGGGGGTAAGGGTTAGTTGGCAGAGGTAGTGGGCAAGGGTACATTTGTTTTTTGACATTATTTACCGACCTTCCTTCACTACTACAAAATTGGCCAAAGAGACCCAATATATAAGACCTGTTATCTACATAAGCGGTCTCTTTGATCCAAGAGACCGTTTATTATTAATAACGAATCTCTATCTTTATTGGTTGGAATGGTAAAAATATTTGAGAGACCGGTTATTTAAAACGTCGAGTCTCTTATGATTTTTTGAAAAAAAAATGATTTATCAAAAATAAACCAGAGACCGCTTATTTAGAAAACCGATCTCTTGTTTTTTTATAGATAGACCTGTTAACATTAAAGACGAGTCTCTTGTTTTTTAGGTTCCACCGCCACTTACTTTTTCTCTTTTTAACTTCTCTCTCCTCTTCCCTCCCAATTGAGTTACCCCAGCCCATTTCATTTCCTTTCTCCTCTTCTCCTCTTCTCTCGTGTCTTTCTCTCTCCTCCTTCAAACCCTAACCAAATAGCTGTGATATGATGCAATTCGAGTAGCCGTTAACAAAGAAAAGGAAAGAGGAATGGCAAAAGAAAGAGAGCAAAATTATTATGGAAATTAAACTCTTCGATTCCTTGGTTCTTCGATTTCCTTTTTCAATTTTTTTATTTTTCTCTTAGATCTGGTGCAAAAAATAGGGTTTTTTTTTCCGTTCATCTTGTAGTTATCTACAAGTTTATTTGAGTAGATCTTTAAGTTCTAGTTATTTAATGTTCATTTTTTTAAAAAAATTTTGTCATAAACCTCCTTTTAAAAGCACTTTTTTTATGAAAAACCTCCTTATAAAAATAATTTTGTGAGATCATACCTTAATCAAGTTTTTTTTTACAAAATCATACCTTTGAATGAAAAACGGGGTCAAACCCCGTTTTCAGGCGTTGACTACCCACGTGCATCTCACGTGGTCGACGAAAATCCACCCAAGCTTATTTTTCCCCAAATTTTTCCCTCGAATTACTCTGTTCAATGTTCTTGCCCCTCTTTCCAATTAAACCCAATTATCTCCTTGCAATTACTGTTCTCTGTTGCGACTCTGCCATGGCATGTTGAAATTGAATTCCCATCCCTCGCAAAAGAGTAAGTGAAATTTCTCTCTTTCTTACATTTGTTATTAACTACCAACTTTAGTGTGGTAATTGAATTCGTCCTTGCATTTCTTTGCCTTGGGTATGAAAATGAAAGCAGCTACAACAAGGAAGCAAGGTGAGGGGACCAGTTACATAATCATCCAGAAAGAGAGGTAAAATTTCTGATTTTTATAATGTTAGGGTTAAGTAAAATTTCCACAATGACACTTTTGACCCCCCCTCAATCATGCTGCAAAAACAAAAAAATTAAGGAACGATTCAATTTAAGAACCCTAGTTTTTCAAATTAACCTTAACTCATAATCAGCCCTAATTTACATAAATTCAGTTCCAAATTAAATTTCGAAAATTAACTGGCTTAATTGAAGATCCTTGCACAAATCGAAGTAATGAAAGGGAATAAATTGGGTTTAATTGAAAAGAGAGGGAAGAACAGAAGAAGGAAGAGGAACAAAGTACTGAGCGCTTTCCCTAAACAAGGTTAGGAATTCGCGTAATTCCCTAAATGCAGCCACTCTTTTATATATTCCCACTTTACCGTCCACGTCACCGGTTCAGTTGGAATTTTTTTTGACCAGTTTTTTTACAAAACCGCTACTTCAAGTAGCGATGTATTGAAGAAAACCGCTACTTGAAGTAGCGGTATACTCAATAAAAACCGCTACTTCAAGTGGCGGTTTATTAAGTGAAAACAATTCACAACAAAAACCGCTACTTGAAGTAGCGGTTTTGTTTTTAGAAACCGCTACTTGAAGTAGCGGTTTTCCCTGGACCGGAAAAAAAAAACCCGGTTTTTTTACCCAATGCTTACGTGGACGGTAGATTGGGAAAATGTAAAGAAGTGGCTGTAATTTGGGAATTGAGGTTTTTCTTGACATTATTTTGGGAAAGAGCTCCAAAGTACTTCGAGGGAAAATTTGGGGAAATATTAGCTTGGGTGGGTTTTCATTGATCACGTGAGATTCACGTGGGTAGTCAATGTCTGAAAACGTGGTTTGACCACGTTTTCCGTCCAAAGGTATGATTTTGTAAAAAAAAATTTTGATTAATGTATGATCTCTCAAAAATATTTTTATAAGGAGGTTTTTCACAAAAAAAGTGCTTTTAAAAGGAGGTTTCAAACAAAATTTCCTTTTTTTTTTCGTCATATTTTCTTAATTAAAAGTCTGAATTTCTTATAATAATTTATTTTTAACATTTTTTTTGTTAAAAAATCAAAAAGCCCTCCGATTTTTCGTTTAGCCATGGTAATAGATTATTGTTTTTTTTTTATTTTTATTTTGCTTGTTAATGTTTTTGTTTTAAAACCAATTTTCGCCATTTTTTTAAGAAATTTTTATTTTGAAAACATCTATCATAGTCAGATCTAGTATTTTTCGTTATTATCGCTCAATTTCTTTCGTATGGAGTCAGATCTGGTATTTTTCGTCATTGTTAAGTTCGCATTTGATTTTATATTTCTATTATCATTTTCAATTTCGATTATTATTTTTTTAAAATTTCTTTAGAGATTTTCCTGATGAATTGTTCTTTAGCTTGTTTTAAAATTAGTTTTTTTTTTCTTGCTTTGATTTTTTGTTCATTCATCATTTTAAACAACTTTTAAATTAGATCTCGTATTTAAGTAGTTAAATTAAACAATTAATCATTTTTTTTAATTATAAACGAATTTTATTTTGTACCTTGATTTTAAAATTTTCGTTTTTCCATTTTTTCATTCCTTTATAATTGTTCTGATTTATTTCTGGATAATAATATTGCTTTTTTAATTTTTTTTTACATAGAAATCTCAAGTTTCATGTGATGATGACTGGAGGCAAATCGCTTGTTAGGTGGGAAGTGTTAGCGAAGATAGATCGGTTGCGATCTTTTTTGGCCTAAGAGATGCTTTTGATGCTGGGTTTGGCAAGCTGTAGGTGTCATCTGATATTAGTGTTCAATTACTCCACCTTCCCTGCTTCAATTCCCCTTGTTTCTTTTGATAAGGGGGTTGAGTAATAAAATTTGCTTCTTCTATTATTGTTTTAACGAAAAAAAGTCATTAGTTATAGATTTTTTTTTTCATGTATTGAATTTTTGATATATGTACTACGTACGTAATTTTTGAGGAGTGTACGTACAAGAAATAATTTTCTCCTTTGTATTTGATCATGAAAAATATGAATAAAATTATGTAGTATATAATGTTAATATTGATGAATTGTAATTATAAAAATCTAATAAGCTATTTTTTTTATTTAAAATGTAACCCAAGAGACCTGTTAAGTTAAAAAGCGGTCTCACTTTTCTAAAAAAAGAGACTGCCTAAATAAGATAGGCGGTCTCAGTTTTTTGAAAGTAGAGACTGCTTTTCTTATAAAGGCAGTCTTAATTTCCGCAAAGTTCATACCGCTTATCTTAAAGAGGCGGTCTTAGCTTTCTCATTCTAGAGACCGCTTTTAACAAAGTAGTCTCTTTGCCAAAGAGACCGTTGCGCTAGGGACCGCCTCCAATGCAGTCTCTTTTGCTAATTTCAACAGGTCTCTTTGGCCAATTTTGTAGTGGTGCTTGATATGTGTGCCTAAAACTAATAGATCATGTAAAATAATACAGAGGAAGTAAGTGTTTTTTAAGGGTAATAATTATACTCCTAAATATCTCACAACTTCATTTTGAGGGCATTAAAACATGAAAGACCCACTTTTTTTTTATTACCGTTAAAAAGTATGTGTTACAATTTACAAGTATTAAAAAGAAGAGGAAGTATGTATTAAGGGTATCAAGATAGGGAATGACGGAAAACTATGAAACCCTAAGAGAGAATGGAAAATATAGACGAGAGAAAGATCAACTAGATCATTCAAACAAGAAACCTAGGTAATAAGTGAAAAATCACACATCTCATCTTTGATAAGGATCTTAAAGACAATGAGAATGTTAGAAAAACAATGAATATTGACGTACAAAGGGACCAGATAAATTCTTTAAGGCACGTGATAAACCTTTTCCTAATAGTTATTTATCGACTCTCTTTGGAACAATCGAGTTACACAATAGCACTATTTGGATACAATGAAAAACCAATTAGTTTTGCTTGTTCTTAAAAAACTAATTCAACAAAATTTGAGTTGAAATGTGTTTGTTTTCACTCTAAGAAAATTACTGTAGATTTTTTCTCAAAGTAAGCAAGAATGATTTTAATTCTAATCTCATCCATCAGATTTTCTCTCAAACAAAGCAAGAATGACAATTCGTATCTCATAAAATTTGCCAAAATCCAATTTGGGAAAAGGTGCCAATGCTTTGTAACAATCTGTCATAAGAACTTTGCTATGATCGACAATCCACGTCTTGGAACATAACTCTTGAAAGCAATCCATCTTGGAATTTTGTTGATGTTATGCGACAATCTTTTTAGGAGAATGTTGCCACAATTGATAATCCGCGTCTTGGAACATTTGCAAAAATGAGTCGATCGACAATCCACTTTGGGAAAATTTTCCACTACTGAAATGAATGACAATCCACGTTTGAGGTACCTTTGCCGAAATGTTAAGATGAATAGAGATCTATGACAATCCCTTGGGAAATTTTGCCATAGGGAACTTGGTACATGACAATCCAATCTCGGAAATATTTCCAAGGATTTGATGACAATCCAAACTTTGGAAAAATTTTCCAAATGGAGAAGGAGCACGACAATTCATGCTTGGAAACATTGTCAGTTTGAGATGACAATCCAATCTCAGAAAAATTGTCGTTTGAAGAAGATGCTCGACAATCCACTCTTGGAAACATTATTGTCACTTTGAGATGACAATCTAATCTTGGAAAAATTGTCGTTTGAAGAAGATGTTCTTAAGCCTTGTAAAAGAGATCAAATTTTGCCAAAGGACCTTGACAGTTGACTTGCTTAAGGTTGACTCAAGATTTGGTGTTACTTGACTCATTGTGTAAGACTTGACATTTTTTCTTGACTCGATGTGTAACTCGACGTACTCAAATCGACTCGATGTGATAACCCGACATGAATCAAAGTATACATGACTCGTGTTTGTAGACTTAACTCGATGTGATGGCACGACATGACTCAAAGTGTACATGACTCGTGTGCACATTGTATTGTGATTGTGCTATGAAAAACAAAAAATTTTCGTCATTTTCGTGGAGGGTACCAACTTTCACCCGAAAAAGAAAAACGTGAAAGGAAGAAGTGAAGTGTTTGAGTGTTTAATGGTGAATGTTGAATGAGCTTAGTCAATGTATGCGTTGATGTTGTATCTCATGGTGAAAGGATTGTAGCATCCTAGGCAATCTCAATTGATAGCTCAATGATGAAGCATGCCTTGTCATATCAAGGTCACTCACTATCATCATTATGACCTTGATGATAGTGATCATGATATCAAGTACTTTGTGATGTAATGATAATTATGATAGTGAGTGACCTTGATATGACAAGGAATGCTTCAACGTTGTGTTAAAATTTCATGACAAATGGTTCCTAAAAGGGAAGGTTTATTTGGTCATGTATCTATGATGTGTGTGAAAGTGACACTAAAGTTATGCTGCAAAGGCTAAGGGTGTGGAAATATATTCTGTGAAGAGCCAAATAATGGTGACTCTTAGGCTTGGTAGGCTAATGATGTAGGGATCAAGCCCCCCAAGTCTAACTCTAAATGGATAGGGATGAGCATTGGAGACCCCTTGTTATGATCCATTACTAGAAAATAGGTAAATAGCGACGGAATGATTTTGAGAGACCCATTATTCCGTTGGAAAAATCAAAATTTTCGACGGATTTTAATTCCGTCGGATATTTCTGACGAATTCTACAAATCCGTCGGAAATTTCCGACGGATTTATAGTCCATCGGAAATTTTCGACGAAAATTTCCGTCGAAATATAGTTAAAAAAACAACTTAAATCTCTAGAAACCCTAACACCGACATCAATAACACCATCACCGGCATCAACATCAACAACAATTATCAATTTTGCCCTTTTTCTCTCTTCTCATGCCGAAAACAAAGGTTTTAAGGTCAAATTTGACCTTGAAAACTCTAGATCTAGAGTTTTCATGGTCGAATTTGCCTTGTAAACCTAATTTCATGGTTTTGTGTGGTCTAATTCAGGTATGTTTTTCTTTTATTTTCTTAATTTTGATTTTATTCGTCCTTTTTTCGATTTTTTTTTTGAAAATTGATGGTTGTGGCCGTTCAAGTTCGGGTTTTGGGTTTTTTTTTTTTTGAAAATTTTGGACGTTTTTTTTATGTTTTATTTGTTTTTATTTTGGTCGGATTTTTTTATGTTTAGGTTAGGGTTCTGTTAGGTTGTGGTGGTGAATTCGGTGGTGGGTGGGGTAATTGCTGTGGTGGTGGTGAATTTTTGGTTAGGGTGGTAGGTTTGGGATAGGTGGGTTAAGGCGGTGGAACTATTGAGTTAAGGTGGTGCGTCGAGGGGGTGAGTTAGGCATGTTTGCGGTGGGGCTAGCAGCGTTGGTAGGTGTTTTTTTTTTTTTTTTTTTTATTTATTTTCTCCCTTGGAATTTCTGACGTTTCCGAGCCTGAAAACCTCTTCCGATGGACTGATTTTAGTTGGAATTTCCGTCGAAAAAGTGATTCCGACGGAAAAAGGTCATTTTTCCTACAAACTATGTTGCGACAACCGATTCCGACGAAAATTTTGTCGGAAACGGGTTTTCCGACGGAAATTCCGTCGGAAATGGGTTTTCCGATGGAAAACAACACTACGTGAAAATATGAAATTGGCACCGGTTCAAACCCGGCCTAAGGCACAGATTTGAACCAGTGCCAATGTGGGGGGGGGTGCCAAAAGTGGTTTAATAAGGCACCGGTTCAAACCGGTGCCAAAACTTGGAAATGGCACCGGTTAACCGGTGCTAAAAATGCCCAAAAATAATTTTTTTTTGTTTTTTTTTGTTTTGTTTTTTCCAGCAAATTTGCAACATATCAACAAGAATCGAAAATTTGCAATATATCAACAAGAATCGAAAATTTGCAACATATCAACAAGAATCGAAAATTTGCAATATATGATAAAAAAAAATTACAACATATAAAAACTTTGATTACAGCATATAAAAAAAAAATTACAATATAAATTTTTTAAAAAAATTATAATATAAATAAAATAAAAAACTCATTCATTCTTGCTTGTATCTTGCTTCTTCGATTTCAGATCTAAATGACATACCTGCACCAATTAAAACAAAAAAAAATCGGTTAATATAATTAAAATTTGAAAGAAAAAGCCCAGAAATTTAATCCCAAAAATTGAAAAAATATTCAAACCCAGAAAAAATTGAAATCGAAAAAACCCAGAAAAAAAAACTTGAAATCGAAAAAAACCAGTTTTCGAATAAACACGGAAAACGAAAAAAAATTGAAATCGAAAAAACCCAGAAAAAAAAAATTTGAAATCCATTTAAATCTAGTATTCGAATAAACCCAGAAATTGAAAAAAACTAAAATAAAAAAACCAAGAAAAAAAATTAGAAATCGAAAAAAAATTGAAATCGGTGTTCGATAAAACCCAGAAAACAAAAAAAAATTGAAATCGAAAAAAAATCCGATTAAAATCTGAAAAAAAAAATCAAAATCGAAATTGATTAAAAATTTGATTAAAAAAATAGATTAAAAATTCGATTCAAATTAAAATCGATTAAAATTTAAAAAAAAAAACCTAAAAATTCGATTGAAATCAAAACAATAACCCAGAAATTTGATTGAAATCGATCTAACCAATAACCCAGAAAAAAAAGAATTTAAATCGATTAAAATTTTTAAAAATCGATTAAAAGATCAATTAAAACAAAAACCCAGAAAATTAAAACAAAACCCATAAATTCGATTGAAATCGGTGTTGCATGTGGTCTTCAAAAACCCAGAAAATCGAGAGGAGTGGTGTTGCATGTGGTCTTCAAAAACCCAGATAATCGAGAGGAGTGGTGTTGCATGTGTTCTTCGTGGTTGTGAGGGAGAAGGAGATCGAAAAATTAAAGAGAATTAGAAGGAGAAGAAGGAGATCGAGAAAGATAAATAGAAATAGAACTATAGAAGGAGGAGAAGGAGATCGAGGAGGAGATGAGAGGAGAGAGAAAGAGGATGAGAGGAGTAGTTTTAGGGTTGGGGTGGATCCGTGGGTTTAAAAGGACTGTTTTTTTTTTATTTTTTTTTTATGGCTTCGGTTCAA